GTACAAAATCAACTGATTACCATCCAAACGACATGGAATGAGGTATATAATTCAAGGTTACCGGATGATTCGTGCAGAAATGACTGGACATTTTCTATCACCCACTCGAAGAGCACTACTTCTTCGTCACACAAGTGTTCGATGTCAACCACAAAATCTTCAAAAATAAGAAATCACATGGATATTTAAGGTTCATACTTTGACAGAAGAATAATCATTCGATGGACTAAAACATATCAAACCTCATCTGAAAAATAATGATGTCATTTTCTAAACGATGTGTTTGAACTCATGCACGTGTGAATTACTGAACTCAAAAATCTATTTTGTGTAAAAAGATTTGTTTTGGTGATTGTTTAACTTGAACAACATACACAAATCCAAAAATATATGAACTGTTTGATACGATACTGACAAAACTGCAAAGACTGTACAGTTTCTATTGTTTATATGAACTTTCAGATATTTTGCATATTTTGAATAATAGAGACGCTCTTAGAGCGTAAAGTCGAGCTAGTTATTTTGGAAAACTCAGAAAGACATGATATCTAAAGAAATTACTTGAGTTCAGTTCGGTAAAAAATTATGATGTCATAAATAACTTATATAACTTAATTCTGTTTTGACTTATTACAAACAAAGACTGTATCGTGAAAATGAAATACCATTGTCTGAAGCCCACGTAAGCGATCCATGATCGTCTAGTTGAGTTAATAAACCGGCGCTTTGGGTTTTAACCCATAGTCCTTACCGTTCAAGAGGCGTATGCAGGGGGGATCACAGGGTGCCCATGCTTGGAATTAACTTAAGCAGTTAAGAAATTCAGTTCTATGTCTTCTCGGGGCCCGGTTTCGTTTCAATCTAAATCAAATTTGCAACACAACAAACATAGTCATCTGTCAAACTTTTGGTTTATGATACGCGACCGGAAATACGTTTCAGTGGCCGGTAGATATCGCATAGACGTGACGTCCGCCATATTTTATGACAATTGCAAATTTTATCGATTTGATTGGTCGAGAGCCGTGGTAAATAAAAGTACATATCACGGTCACATGGTTATTCTTTTTTTTCTTGGATTGTTATATAACTGTAGAATTTTCTGTGGTAAAAAAGTTAAAAATATGCTAGTTTCTCGTGGTATGTCGTCTCTTATTAACCACGGTTGGCGCCATTTCATCGTCAAAATTGTTGTTTATCCACTCGACTTACAATGTAAATCAATAGAGTATAATATGGAATAGATATAGGAAAAATGTTTGATTAAAATCGAGTGATGAGTCGAGAAGGGTGACTTCAGATGTTATTGATGCAGAACTGATTATTACACAAATNAGAGTAAGTTGTTTTACACTTTAGTACTCTATTACTTACAATATTACAATATCAACATAAGTATTCATCTTTTCTGCCATAGCAAAAGAAAACTCAATTCACATTTTTGATAGTCTTTGCTGAAGTTTATTCATGACGAGTCGACTGAATTTTTTGTGCACCTCGACAGCCGTAAGCTTATATATAAACTTCGACTGAAAAATTAAAGTTATTTCGTGCATATCACCATCGATAAATGCTGCCTCTAATACAGTTAGTGTTTTCTTCCTTATTGGCCTGCAAATGTACAGCATTGAATGATAAATAGGGGATATTACATGGGCGCGCGGAGATACGAATTTTATCTTCGAGGGTTGAAAAGATCTCTCACGAGTGAGCGTAGCGAGTAAGAGATTTTCAACACGAGAAGATAAAATTCGTATCTCCAAGCAACCATGTAATATTCTGTTTATCATATAATTACATATGAAAGCAAATTATGTCGTAAAATACCTTTTTTCTTATTCCACTATATAGAGAAGCCTCGAATGTGCTATTTTCACTAGCGAAAATAACATGTTATTTTCACTAGTGAAGATATCAAGTTTACGAAATGGAGAAATATAGGTATTTCATAGATAATTATATGATAAAACCCTATTACTTGGCTATCTTGCAGCTCGTTGATAGTCAAAACCTGAGTCAACGAGGCAAAGTTTGTTAAAATTTCTGACTCTCTAAATTTATCAGGCAAACTAAGCAAAATTATTAATTTGTATTAGGCCTAAGAATTTGTAAGATAACTAAAGAGTAAAACGTCTGTTTTCGTGAAATAAATATTGTGGATAAATCAAAAGACAAAAACAAAACGTGGCCCTGATTTTTTATTGAATTCAGCTTTTCAATCCGCCAACAAAGGTCGTTTTAATAGAAAAGCAATATTGTAACAAAGCCTGAATATCAATTTAGGTATCTCTATGAAAAGAGCTTCTATTCTTGTTATTTTAAATTTTTATTTGTCAAAAAATGAAAAAGAAATACGACAAAATCAATCGCGCGGGATCCCTGATTTGACATTGAATTCAGCTTTGCAACGTTGGATCTCGGACCAATCAGCACGCGACTTTATTATGTGATGTGGGATTCTGTGATGTATCCCTGGCAGATGAAAATCTTGCTAAAATTTCCGAATTGAAAGTAGCATCATCTCAGCGAGAGATGCATTTGGCGTTTGTTGTTGCCCTCTGATTAAATTTGCTGGGCCAAATGGTAAGAATTTAAATATTTCGAACTATTTAATTGAGCTTTTTGAGTTAATAAACCGGCGCTTTGGGTTTTTAACCCATAGTCCTTACCGTTCAAGAGGCGTATGCAGGGGGATCACAGGCCGGCGGGTGCCTATGTTTGGAATTAAATTAAGCAGTTAAGAAATTCAGTTCTCTGTCTTCTCGGGTCCCGGTTTCGTTTCAATTTATATCAAATTTGCAACACAACAAACATAGTCATCTGTCAAACTTTTGGTTTATGATACGCGACCGGAAATACGTTTCAGTGTCCGGTAGATACCGCATAGACGTGATGTCCGGCATTCAGAATAGAATATCTTACCACAATTGCAAATTTTATCGATTCGATTGGTCGAGAGCCGTGGTAAATAAAAGTACATATCAAGGTCACATAGTTATTCTTTTTTTTCTGGGATTGTTATATAACTGTAGAATTTTCTGTGGTAAAAAAGTTAAAAAATGCTAGTTTCTCGTGGTATATCGTCTCTTATTAACCACGGTTGGCGCCATTTCATCGTCAAAATTGTTGTTTATCCACTCGACTTACAATGTAAATCAATAGAGTATATAGAATAGATATAGGAAAAATGTTTGATTAAAATCGAGTGATGAGTCGAGAAGGGTGACTTCAGATGGTATTGATGCAGAAATTATTACACAAATATTAACAAATGTCTATGAAATATTGTATTTACATTATATTTGCAGCACATTCAGACCGATAGTAATACGTAAAGTAAAACGTAAATACGTCCAGTAATTTGAGCTTTCCCAAACGGAACGAAAACATCCGTCGCCTGCTCTCCTAGACGACGTACTAGAGTCAAATAAACCATTTACTAATTACACATGTAGTTAAAGAGAAATTACTGAAACGAAATACATGCACTGTTCGGAACTACAACGGAACTAGTTAAYATAATTTGATTTCATAAAGGCCAGATATTTCCCTAATTGCGGTTGAAAATACCTCTTTTGATAGCGCTTTTCTTTTCGGGAGTACTTATGAAAACAACGATCTCTTTATCTAATGGAATCGCGCTGTATAATGTCTTGAGATTTAGAGTGTTTTTCAATCGGGGTTCGTGAGTGTTTTAAGGGAAAAATTATGTCTTCTAAAATCTAATAAATTATGAAATAATCGTCACTTGTGATGTTAATAAAATTGGTTAGGACATAACTAAAGGACATAGCTAAAGCATATTGCTTGTTTGTATTTGTTGATTCCTTATTCTTTCTTTTTCGTTTTATTTTTTTTTCAATTAACCGCGACAGATTGATTGATTGATTGATTGATTGATTGATTGATTGATTGATTGTTTGGATGATTGATTGATTGATTGGATGATTGGATAATTGATTGATTGATTGATTGGATTATTGATTGATTGATTGATTGAATGATTGATTGCGATTGATTGATTTTCAAATTAACGATGCAAATTAATATACTATATAACAGTTTTAGCGTTTGTTTTATTCAACTAATGTATCTATCAACAATGATAACATGAAAGATTAGTTTTGTATATCATACTTAAACAAAGCATTCTTACAAAATATYTGTTAAAACGCTCGTGCTGATTRGCTGCTTATTTGTTCCTATATTAAYGTTTTTGAAACATAATGACAACTTAATTAACAAAGTTATGTGTATTGTTTTAATTCCAGGGTAGGAATAAACGACGATTTAAATTTTATTTGYATTATATTGTATTTTTGTAACTTTACTTTAAGTAAGCTTTTCAAAGAATGGGTTAAAATATGATATGTAAATTGAATTTCTTATTATTCTTTTGTATTTACTACMGAACAACGTTAATTCACGACTTTCCATACCCAGGTTCAGTGACCACGAACAAAGCATTGAAACGAGGCGTCAAGGTATAGTGAGCATAAAACAAAAATATCTGTTTTCAGTGTTCCTTGACGCCTCGGTTCAATGCCTTAGKCATGGTCACTAAACCTGGGTATGAAAAGTCGTGAATGGGACTGACTCTATATGGCCTAGAAACCATTTGTTTTTATAATGCATCTCTCTCTTTATATGATTACGATGGAAGTGAGAAGTAAGAGAATATCACTACACTCTTATTTCAAAAATCGTTTTCTACATCGCCGTCTTGTCTCAGTCGTTACCAAAGCTGTGCACAGAGAGAGAAGYGGTCGATGTCAAATTCTTAAACATAGCTTGTCTCCAAAAGATATCAAATAATTTACTACAAAACTACTATAGTTTTTATTAGAACTCTATTGAATAGTCTATGGTTTGATTTAACTAATTTTTCAAAGTTATAATTTTTGGGGTTTTGCGTTTTTCTTTGATTGTATATATATTATATTTTATTATGATTATTTATTTTGCTGTTTACAGTAGTATAGCACTAAGGTGATGTTTTCGTTGAAACAGGTAAATGGAAAATACACCATTCTCGAGCTCAAAGTGGTTAACCGCTGTTTCATATCACAGCAGATTCTCTTATGCAAACGCTATACCGCGAACAAACAAAAAAAACTAAAACTAAAATCACGAAAAAATGTTGTAAATACAATTGATTGTTTTCACCGATTCACATGAGATTCAAAAGATAAAGTTCGGCGGCCATGTTGGAGGAATGAACCATAGMCCCTTTGTTAAGTCCTCCAAGATGGCTGCTGTGACGTAACCTGAAAGCGAAGTATATTTAGCCCTACAATGTACATTTTCTCTTAGTTGAGTTGTAGCCTACAGGGTCAGTAATAACCTCGTACTGTTTTTTTAGCCGCTTTTTGCATTTCAATGCTTAGTCTGTTGCTGTTTTTGCTGTTCATTTTATTCTTAGTTCATTTTATATTTTTTTTTACGTTTTTTTTTTTTTACTTGAAAACCATATGCCGTCGTTTGCTTGGCGACAATGTCAATGCATGGATGATGCTTTCTGTTTACTACTGCGCTGTTAAAGTTTTTTCACCTACAAACAAGAATCCTTATCAGGAGGCAAGGGCAATGAACTACTTTTGCATAAAAAAGAACGTACTGGATGAATGTGGAGAAGYATTCAGCCATCCAATAAGCTATTGTTTATCAGTAATGATTCCTGTAAGATCTCAGGCCATGTGGTTAGTGATTGGAACAACCCTGTTGATAAACCTCTGGCAAAACATGGCGAGAAACATATGACGAAATCTTTTCGAAATGAAAGCGTAGAGCACAGGGTTGTATGTGAACGATGCTTTTGCGAACAGGCTAGCAACAAGAAGCATGTAAGACGTGTCTCCAACACCAGAGATGATCATGATGACAACTATGGAATACGGCGTCCAAGCGAGAAGGTAAGCGAGGATCAGCACCAAGAGTTGTAAGGCCATTGAGATCTCCTTCTTTATCTCGGCACGGGTATGGTCATTGAGCCCGAGGYTWAGSCCAGATGMACCCTTGCTGACATTGATGCGAACCTTGAAGATGGCAAAGTAGCTGWACACCATTACACCGACCGGTGCMACAAAGCAGCASATGAACATCACCACAAAGTAGGAGAYATCCAACGGAGCCGTCTGATCCCAACGCAATGAGCAAGTGATGTTKGAAGCTTCTGGTCCGAACTTTGACCAGCCAGCGAACGGTAAAACGCTGAGGACCAGTGAAAAGGTCCAAAGRACTCCAACTATAATGACAGCTTGTTTGTGAGTCAAGAAATTCCCATGYGCATAGGCRTACTTGACAATTGTTAGGTACTTCTCTAAGGCAACTGCACCCAAATTCAGCATCGAAACAGTCCCAAAGAAGTAGATCAAGAAAGCATGRACGTGRCAGCTTGTTGTTTCCCAGTGCCCTGTWGACGCGGACCAAATGGCTTGAGGRACTGGAATAGAGCAGGCCAGGAAGCCACTGATRCATATACTGAGGATGAAAATGTTCGGGACGCTTATCGAAGAAATGTTTCTRATCATGACGGCAATAACAAGACCATTGAAGGTTGTTCCTGTTAGYGTRATGATTGTCAAATAAATGGCRGCAACAGTTGTAAGCACATTCGACATGACTTTGTTTCGATCTTTAAAACCCTAGAAAACAACATACATGTTCGCATTAGATGTATCTATATCGGGTCTGCAGTTTTTGACTCAGTCTGCTGTTGCAGTTCTGCCGCTAACCCGACAAAAGGAAAACAAAACACATAAATCTGTGTATAGACCTTTTAACCAATAAGGCCGCCATCTTGAATTTGTAAAAACAAATTGAAACCATAAAACAATAAGATTATACAAATTTTGAAACACAAACTTATCTGAGAAAGTACGTTTCTTTTCAATTCTAATAATTATGAATTTTACAGAAGATAAATGATACGAAAAACGTCAAATAAGAAAAAAATTACTGCAATTGAGCACATTTGGAAAAATTAGCGAGGTCGTCGAAAATTAATTGATTCGAATTTATTTCCAGGGGTTTTTCTCCCGGAATAAGCTTCTTCCTAGCACTACAATTTTCCTTTATTTATATATTATATATCTCATAGTGTCATGCATTTCTTACATTCATGTCTTTATAAATCTGATACAACACTTAGTGTTAGATTTACAGCAAGGGCACCCGCAGTGACCCACAACCCAACACTAGCAAATGTCTTAGTTATTCAAAATATCACACCATAGACCTCCTATGTTTTGAATCGAGTAAGTACAGATGGTAGCATTTCCTTATGAGACAGGTGGCTTGCTATCCATGTGGGATGGGATTCGAACACACGACCCTCGGATTTGTACTACAGATGCTCTACCAGATGAGCTACAAGGTCGGAAATTTTAATTTTTTCTAATTTATTTCCAAACGTCTTTCTCCCGGAACAACCTTCTTCCTGGTACTATAACCTTCCTTCATTTCTTTATCAGATTTACTGACCAAAAAGACATCACTTCTTGGAATAATAGTTTACAAATTATTTATTTATTATTATTTATTTATTTATTTATTTATTTATTTAGTTATTATTTATTATTTATTTATTTTTTTATTTTATCGAGTTCAAAAGCTTTTCGACGATTTTTTTATTTGTATTAATTTAGCCTCTGAAACAACAGAAATGTGTGAGTATTTCCGCTATTCCGGTTTTCGTTGTTTTCGACGGATCCCACTCTATAACAGCTAGTATGGTTTTCACGTGTCGTTATGTAACAGGTGCGACTCTAATTATCTTATAAGATGGACAATCGAAGCCATAGATGTCACATGCAGTTTTGCTTTTAGCTCCGAAACTGCAGGAGACATAGTAATCGGTGTCTTAACACAAGAAGGCTAACGAAGAKCATGTCAGTTCCTGAATGACAATTAGTTTATTGCATGCAATTGGCTCTATAGAAAGATCTTACAAAATTTTGCTCGTTGGCATAGGGTCTTAAGTTGAAAAAAGGTGTTCTGTAGCAAAGTGGTAATATATGTAATTATATGACCTATATTCGCTGCTGGAAAGCCGTGCACTCAGTTTTATAAGCATATGTCGCGAAAACCATGGTATATGAGAAGTTAGCTTATTGTTTCATGTTAAATATCCAGTGGTAGTTTTGGATGAAAGTGAAATGTTAATGCAATATGAGCCGCATTGTAAACATTGACGCCATAGAGGATTTCTTCATCTTTTTTCGACTAATTTCACCTGTTAAATAATAATGTTTGTATATTTTATTATTGTAGTGCCAACACTGTAAAAGCGTGCAAAGAAATAACCAAATAGTGCTAAATAGCGCAACATAGTGTAAGTCAGACAATAGAAAACAAAGAAATTTTGATAATTTAATAGGCACTTCTTCGTTTTCAAATTACGTCACAGCGGCCATATTGGAGGAACTTAACAAAGGATTTATCTTTTTTATTGTTCATTCCTCCAACATGGCCGCTGGTCTTTTATCGTTTGAATCTCATGGGAAATGATTGAAAACATSAATAGTGCAACTTGAAGTCTTTATACATGTAGTGTTTGCACTTTTTCAAGCTAACACTTTTAGAGCTTATTCTCCGATCCTATAGAAGTATTTCCAGCATTATTTATCAAGAAAAAACGTACTGCACTCACAAAATGCGCTCACAAAAGTCCATGTTCAATGGATCGACATTAAGACTGCTTAATAGTTKACCACCTAGCAATCAAACTGAGAAATTATTWATCGCCTKTCTCTAAAACAGAGTTGAAAAACAGTCTTGATAACGGCGTGACACTTAGTGCGACTAATAGACTTCATAAAAATGCGATCGTTAACTGCTGCAATTGCTTTATAATTACGCTATGACATCACAGCAAACCATTCTAACGCTACTGGAATCAAAGTCGTTAGATATCGAGTGTCGAAAATGACGGCAAGTAAAAAAAAAGACAGGAGAAAAAAACACATGAAACATATGTCATTTTTGAGTGACAAAAGAGCCACAATAGCAACAACAAAAACATTATTTTTGTTGCTTTTTATGCTAGATAAATCAATTACAAACACTTAAAGTAAAGCCAGTTATAATAGTTTGAAATCATTAAACCCGTGAAACAAAACTTGACTAAAAGTATGATAAATAGACAAGAAAGAAAAGAATGCAATTAGAGCGTACTAAAGTGTATTAGAGTCATTTTCCATCAGTCTGTGAAACAATTACTACTAGTCAGTGTTTAATAGTAACTATTAGGGTGTAGCAGGCTACCAAAAGGCAAAATCAAAATAGCGTTTGCCTAATTAGTTTGTCACATATCATAAGTTAAACTATTGGGAGCTAATAGGGAGTAATAGTATTTTACTTATTAAAATATAAAAAACATGAAAATGAATAGTATTTAGATTTTGTATAGTTGCACGGTTTAAGTGCGATCACTCTAGTATAAAATCTACTCCACGGGATTCTTTGACTTCAAAATAGCCAAAAAGTGCAAAATAGCGCAATTTTAGACCTTGCAATAATTGTACAATGTGGTCTAGCTTCAGTACAAACAACGCCATATTTGGTCGCAGGAACATGAGATGTTTGTACCGAATCTAGACCATAATGCAATGTGTAATGCTATTTCAGAAAAGGCCTATCATTCACATAATTCAGTACAATTTAACTTGTACTTTAACGTTTTACATGGTTTAAGTGTTTGGACTCTAAGAAAACACAATATATCTGAAAACTAGAAGAAATGAAGTTTAACTYTCAGTGTAATTATATTGATTTAGTCTCGTCCCCATATAAACGTGCTCTGACGTCATAGTGGAAGAGGGTATTTAGAGTAGTAAATCTATGCAGGAGAATTCTATGCATCAAGACTACTTTGACTACAGAAATGAATTCATATTTTTATCAGCTGCAATTCAGGTGGAAAAGGCAAAAATTTTGCCTTGAGTTTGGTTGAACTACAAAGCAGAGACGGAACGCTTTAAGAGTAATGATGCCGGATGGAAGCGCGAATGAAAATTCCTCTTTTCTTTGTATTACCGCCAGTTCTCTTTAAGTGACATTTATCTTCATTAGACCTCCTCAATTGTTGCAACATCTCAGACCTCTTAAGCTGAGTGTGTGTTCGTTAGCTGCAAAATTCTTATTCTAGTGTCTTTTTGAGCGTTAAAATAAGAGTTTCCTAGTCCCAGGGGCTTCTAGAAATAGACTGATCCCTTCTCCGCATAGAAACAGTTGTGTAAAAAGATAAATTTAACACCGTTAAAAGTAGGTGAAATAACCTACTGACGTTTCGGACGTTCTTCGCATAGATTTATCACCAAATGAGCAATTTTCCCAGTGGAATTCAAACTGCCCGAGCAACAAATTAACAATTCGAAGATTTTTCTGAAATTATTAGCTTTTCCTGATGAAAATATAAAAACATGTAACACAAGGAAAGTTCATCCTGCATATCTCAGCAATCGGTATCTTTTCCATGCTTTATATCCAAGGAAAATTTTCTTGTCAGACGTAGCAACAGTAACTAGGGAGGTGGGACAATTAATGGGGATCGGTCAATTGGTCAAACTTTCCAAGAGAAGAGGACCGCCACTGTGCGCAAAAACATTTCTGAGTATTAAAAAATAACTATAATTTACACGGATACGAACCACAAAATTTAAAAAATTTTTGAGTAACACAAAGATTTTAAATTTGAAATTGAATCTATCTGGTGAGCGAAAAAAATCGCGAATTACGTGAAAGACCATAAAATATATTTTATTTTCAATTGAATTGACAGTGTTTATCTCTATTCCAGGTACTGCCGTTTCGTTGGTCTTGCGATGTTAAAAGTACGTAAATTTGAAGTTTCGAAATTATATGGATTCGTGTAAACGTAAAAGGCCTGAAAATGCAGGAGAAAATTTTAAACACAGTAAAATTGCTCATGAATTGGTCGTTAGATTTTGGATATTGTACTTACCATAAATGCAAATTTCAAAGCTTGATTTGTCGAGCGCTATCCGCTGTTTGTTTACAAATATTTCTTAAATTTTCGTAGCTTGATGAAAAGCTAGACATTTTGTAAATCATATTACTTGGACGGAGAATGGCATCGAAATTAACGATATATAAGACAATTTAGGACACTTAAGATGAAATGGTTTGTCACCTRGTTAATTAACTGCGGCCTCTTTCCTAGGTTGCACCAATAATATTGGAGTCTACCAAGAGGTTATTTACCGAGCGCGAGTTTGTGTATGTGAAAATATCAGACCTCGGTCTGATATTTTCCCGTACAGATCTAGCAAACGAGGTAAATTACTCGTTTATTATATGGCTTTTTATATCGTGGATTATGTACAAGAATTACTTAAAGTATATAGGAAAAGTCTCACTGGCCTTACTTATATACAAACGGTTGCCTCTCTCTGTCTAATAGCACCGCTTTTCTTAAAATATCTCACGATATGAGTAAAATGACACAAAAACCATCATATTTTAAGTAATTTTCTGCTAAAAAAAACGGGGATTTTGGCCCCTGGTTTCATAGATTCAGTTTATTTTCATGCACAATTACAATATTATTACAGCCTACTCGCAAATTTTCACTGATTCTGTAGACGTAGGTTTTGGCTTCTTTCGAGCTTTTACATATTGATATTGAGTTTTTCTTCGAATATAATCTTTTTTGAGCTATCTTTAAATTATGGTGAATACTCATCGAGCATTTCTAAGCTAAATTCATACCATTTGCACTCTGAAAACAAATGTACTGAGGTCAACTCGGAAAAGAGCGGGAAAGTCGATCAGGTACTAAGACGCGAGCGCAGACAAAAAAGCGAGAGTAGTTGTAATTGAATCTTTTAGTTTCAGATCATTAAAAAATTGATTTAGTTTGAATGTTTTATTGTAAAGAAAGTTTCKTAATGTTATAAACAAACTTGTCTTGATTCCCCGGGTCCAACTTACGGAAAATATTTTGGTTGGACTGCTATCCATAGCAACGGTCCAATACGGCTCTGGACAGACCGCACTTTAGCCAATCAGAATTCAGGGAATTTACAAGCCATATAAAAAAGATTATGTCACCAAAAATCTTGAATTAAAACAAATTTCTAATTTTGGAAAAAGAAGTAACCTTATCAAACGAAACGAATCAAATTGAAGTTTTAGCTAGTGGATAGTAAATACTAGTTCAACGTGAGTATTAATCGATTATTTCGACTTAAATCGCCACAGGGTCAACAACTACCGTTAACACACAAAGCTCATTTTTTTTAAGCTAAAAAAGGAACACATACNTTTAAAAGCTATTTTATAAAGATTTTCAATTTCTCTTTGCGTTTTAGCTTCGATTTTTCGGATAGAATAAAATGACAGGCAGCCTACTCCACTGGGTCGAGTTTTGCTGTGCAAATTCCTCCCGTCGGAGGGTTATGTTTACAACATAAGCTTGTCAGCTTTGCGCTGATTGGCTAGTCGCATTTTCTCAAATCACCCAGGTTTATGTTTAAAAAAATACATTGTAATAGAGTGCAAAGACTAAAAACAAACAAAGCTTAATCAATAGTTGAGTTTCGCGATCTGTTTTAGTGTTAGCCTCAATTGTGTGCAAAATATATTCAGAAATTTTGATAAAACTCGTGAAATTTCAAACTATTTCCATTGTCTTCTATACTCACGGATCTCTTGCATTCGCACGGTTTGTTAGTGAATAAAAGAATTTATCACATGGTATTGAGGTTAACACAGCGTTAAAGAGATCGCTTAAAGGATTTATCAAATAGTCAACCAATTTATTTTTTTCTTTATTTTCTATTTCTATTATCTAGTCTACATTAAATTGCTCTATTTCGTTTAAACTTTTTCATGCTTTTAGACTGAAATAATATTTAAACCCTTGAAACAAAGAACTTGACTATTAGTGTGATAGTCAAATAGAAATAACAGGAAATAATGCAGTAAACCTTTTTCCCGCTGTTTTAGTAGACAACAGACTTGATCACTTGTGCAGAGAAGTTACCGAAAAAAAAAGAAAGCATTAAAAAAGGTTGATTTTGCAACCATCTCTACAAATTTGAATCTCTGCTTTGAGTCTATGTCTGTATTTCCAAAAGAAAACTAATGAATTAGGCCCAATTCAGTCCAGTTTATACCACTATTTAAAGGGTTAACTATGTCATGGGGGTTAATGGAGTTTGCACAGAAACAAAAACTTACTTTTTATCAGTTTATGCTCCGAACAAAAAACAATTCGAACCAATTTCGAACCAATTTCGAACCAATTTCGAAGCCAAGTGAAAAAACAAAAACAGTGAAATAGATATTACACCAATAACGACACTTGCTCTATTTTCATTGTATGCTTTTGCCTCCAAATGGCGTTCGTATGTTGACTTGTAAATTAGCGTTGGAATAGTGTGTCGTTCTAGCGATAACTGGATAGCTTAAATCAAGGGCGACGACATCCCGGCCCTCTCGATGTGCAATGACTAGCTTGCGTGACGTACACGTGATGCGTGATCTATTGCATAACAGTAGAAAAAGGGGTGCGAAACCACGGTATGCACATGTATGCATATTCTAGCGAAAAGAGGCTACTAGTGTTGGTTTTACTTTGCTTCAAAATTTTTGTGTCTTGATAGCAGTTTTTATATGCGAAGGCTTTCATCATATCATCCACATAGAATTTTTTAAGTGACTTGTTGTTTCTCTATTAAAAAACACCCGAAATTTCCCAATTGTTGTTCTTTTTTTTTCATTATTAAAAAATAGTGAAAAATTATTAACTAAATAGTGAATTTTAAAAGACAATAGAAACCTAAGGAATTCACATTATTCAGTACTTACTGTTTATTTACTAAAGCATTTCGTGGTTTTAGCCTTTGAAAATAAACTACCACGAGTGCAGTTCATCGATAACATTAAAACGTCCAATATCCCGGCACTAGATGAAATAGAGGATATTACATGGGCGCGCGGAGATACGGATTTTATCTTCGAGTGTTGAAAAGATCTCTCACGAGTGAGCGTAACGAGAAGATAAAATTTGTATCTCCAAGCGACCATGTAATATTCTGTTTATCATATAATTAAATATGAAAGCAAGTTATGTCTTAAAATACCTTTTTTCTTTCTTCCACTATATAGAGAAACCTCGAATGTGTTATTTTCACTAGTGAAAATAACATGTTATTTTCACTAGTGAAAATATCAATTTTACATAATGGAGAAATATAGGTATTTCATAGATAATTATATGATAATTAGGAATATTCTCTGATAAAGGTGATGGGACCTTTAGAAAAAATGATTAAGAGAGATACAAAGATAAAAAGGCCCTATAACTGTAGAAAACTAGAAATATAGCGAGAGCCGCCGACAATAAAGAATTCACGTTTTCAGGAGCGTTTAAAAATCACTTTAGTCTAAAACTGAAGTTGCTGCATACGTCTACAGGCATACGACAGACACAGGCATACTTACGAAAAATCTACATATTAGAGTTATCATTCGAATCGTATGACAAAAATGTAGACATTATTGGAAAAAAGGGTTAAGAACAAGCCAGGTGATTCAGTCCCCTAAAGCTAGCACAACGTCTATTATAACAAAAAAAACATAGACATAAATATGTAGTTAAAAGCACCTCACCACTTTTAAGATCATAATACTAGATCAAGTGAAATAAAAATTGTTCAATGGAGAGCGCTAGCGCTAGATGAAGATAATTCGCCGAAGTCATGCACTTACACCGACTTATATATGAAACATAATGTCGCTATATCGTGTCTAAGGTCTTTTATTCATTATAATATGGTTGAATAAAATTGTGCAATTTGATTAGCGTAGAGGAGTGGTATTTATCCTTAATTTATCCTTAATTTATCCTCAATCATTTTATAAACAAATGATCGCTTCGCTCGTGAAATTTTATTGACAATTTTGAAATATCACGCGTGGTATTTATCCCAAATACCACTACAAAACATGCTATTACCTATATGCTATATGCTATACATATATAACCACATATTTCGAAACTTGGCATAAATGAAATAAATAAATAAAAACGATTTACATATAAAAGTGCGACTTCCTGTTTGCTGTTTGTTTTTGGTTTTGTTTTGTTTTATTTTAATTTGTCATATTTTAATAGTACTCATAAACACTAAACGCGCATTTTAAAAAGTGGAATTAAATCTTTTAAGGCGACACGATTTTTATCCGAAATTCAGTCAAAGTCATAGAATGAAAAAAAAAAAGATTTAAAATGAAATAACAAAAACAATGTATTACTAACCCGGCAGCGAAACTACTTAAGACTCTCTAGCCAAAGTATGCTTCCCACAAACTAACCTGGTTTTAAGAAGAGAACCCCGATGATGCTTCTAGGACGATTGTTACCACTCGAGTGTCTAATAAARTGCAATCGCGGCTTTATTTAAAGTGGTAAGAGCAATCAAGATATTTCTAAACGAGACTGCGCTGGGTGCATAAACTTTGATGCTTTCCGGAAGTGTTAATGGTAAAATTGGAACGTTTTAACGTCAAGAGGAAACACAAAAAGGAGTATATTAGCCATTTAAGGTGATTAACGGAATTCACATATATTCAGGGTTTAAAATGTGGGGAGCATTAGAAAAAATAAATAAATAATTGCATAAAAAAATGAGAAGTAATAAAATCAAAAAGCAAAAGAATAACATTGAGTGATGATTATGTTTAAAATGAATTAATAAATAAATGCTTGTAAAACACATGGAAAAAATAAAATAAACAAGTAAGTTCGATAGCAATTTCTTGGGGCAAGTACTTGATGGATGCATGAGTCATTTGTACCCACTCTTTTCCAAATTCAAGATGGCGAATTATAATATTTTGTCTCTCTTTAATTTTGCGTAATAATACTTAAGGATTTGGGGGGGGGGATGAATTTCCTATGGATATTTCGAAACAAAAGGTTTATAAAACCTGCATTTTCAAAATAAGGCAGATATAATTAACTTGAAACTAAAACAAGAAAAATCTTTAAGGAGAAAAAAATATCAAAATGTTTACTCAACGAACGTTCGYTGGATTAGTGACCGTTAGTCAAACATATCTCAAACTTCAATGGAAACACTTAATAATAGACGGATAAGGTCTAAATGACTTCAATGTATAGATTTAGCTGTAGAAAAGGAGCTCTAATCTTGACAAGTTGTTGGTATATTTATTAATTAAGTAACGAATTGTATTTTGGATTAGCTCACTATTTCAAATTTGCCCCTGGGCTGGAAGWTTAAAAACATCGAGAAGAAATCCGTCTCGTTTTGGTCATTGATGACAATTTTGGTCTCATAACACTATTAATATACTAAACAAGTTGATACATACTAGGAAAACAATGCTAAACAACAATTACAACACCATGTTTTTTCTACTTTACTTTTCCTTTTAATTGTGTAGTCTATGTGTTGCAGAATTTGTTATGTATGACTGATTAAACTGCGAGCAGCTATGAAAACAAAATCAGTGATTTTTAAATGGTATGTTTTTCGTGGGCCCAAATCAGTCGTCTGACTTAATTTTTGCCGTACTAAATTCAAGCTTCTGTTTTTGTAAGGTGTGACTGTACTAAATACTTTCCAATTTTCATAATTCATCACAATTGATACCTTGTTTTTAAGATGACATAGCTGTACCATGAACTACCTACCATCTTGCCCTGAAAAAATTCAATTTTACCAATAATATGATTTAAAAAAGTCTTGCTTTGTCATTTGATTTTGGCAGAATTTTTTAAAACTTAGGAAATAAATTAAAATTGTCAKGAAATTTTAAGCGCAATATTTTACATGCCKCACGCGTACCCAGGCACATTGATCAAAGAGAAGTAACGCGCAGCGAAATCTTGAAATACCTCATCGGTTGTATGTTGTAATTTCAGTTGATTCTGCAGGAGGAGCCGACGGGGTCTGTTCTTCTAAATAATCGTTCTTGCACGATTTTTTTCCGGGAAAGGGATTTTGAACTACATTGTTGACACAAGCATTGTTCTCACAAGCAAATGGGTGCCCTTCATTCTTTAAAAAAAATTTGTTCCTGCCAAACCAAGGCAAACGTTTTTTGGTMCTTATAGGAATTTTTATTCCTGGCAATTGTTTTTATGATCAAAAACGGCTTATAATATTTTTTTGTTAGGGAATTTTTATTTTCCTTGCAAAAATTCTTAGAGAGAGTTCTTTGCATGTATTAAGCCCAAGACACTTCTCGCTCTGTTTGTGCAGCGATATACCTATAACGAATTCGCTTAGACGATCACAGAAGAATGGTTTAAAATCTAGATTGAAACTGATTCTTTTTTTCTATCAAGCCAGCCTCGAAATGAAACCATTCTTTTCATCCAGGCGAATATAGGARAGGTCTGCTCCCATGCCACGCCCAATAAACAGTTTATCAACAATTGCATGTCACAATTTGATGCCAGGCCAGTGTGATGAGTAGTCACTGCTTTGGACACTAAAACTTTATTCTTAATCCTCAAACGTATTATACAGAAAATTCCCATACAATGAGGGATGATTCATCGGCTAGCACACGACATTTTTGATAAATGTACAAAAGTTTTACTGGGAATTGAGACAGCGGAATAAGAAAYAGGAATTCTAAAGCCACATTCTTCATCTTCAAGAAGATTAAAAGAAAAGTAGCAGGGAGCAATGTTTGATGGGTGGATGGATTTTACGAAAAAACTTTGACTAGTGGGAATTCTTTAAAACCAGAGCCACTGGAAAAAATTGCGCGTTATAAAGACTGAAAATTTGATGTAAATATGATGTAAGTGTCCAAAATTCTGTAAATTTGATGTAAATGATTTCCATTAAATTTACAGAATTTTGGACACTACATCATATTTACATCAATTTTACAACCTTTAAAGCGCGCGATTTTTTCCAGTGAACGTGATTAGATTCCAGGAAACCTTAAAACATTTTCTTTCTTTTCGCGCTGATACCATAAAAAAGAACTTGCAGCAATATACAAAAAAGCCAGTTGATTTGCATCTTTTGCTGAGGAGACGATTCGTTGACCAACATTTTAATAAATAATGATAAACCAAATGCGCTCATAAAAACCTTACGTCTATTTTCTCTCTCTCTACGCGCACAAACTAACATTATTTAGAGAACAATGACTGGAGAGACTCCAAGAAATACATGGTAAAAATTTTTGATTTGCTTTGTCATAAAATCTGTGTAATCATAGCGTTGAGCAAACTTTAGATTCTCATGCTGRTCCAAAAATTGACATTGAGCCAGTACTATAGATGTGTTTCGAGTATGAAGCATGTGACGAAGTATCGCCACTACTGAAAGAAGACCTCATATATTTATGCGGTGAAGTTTGAAACAAATTCAGTGAAGATCTGGTAAAGAACAGCACTTCAAAGTCACCGAATTTTAAAGACAAAAGTTGATGGTGAAACGCGCTASCGTTCTTTTCAAAGTTCCGTAAGTTTTCCGTGTTATATCGTTCTAAAATGTTTCATTTTAGCTAATGACTAGCGGCGAATCTACTTTCATTGTTGGTGATAGATTTTTAGCCGCTATAACTCTGAGGAGGTGGTATCTTCACCTTATCTAATTAACCAAAAATTGGCCATCAAGCCAGTTTTTTAAGAAATCTGGATATCAAAAACACATTTTCAGGTTGATGGAAAAAATTTGGCATGCARCGATTTGTATAAACATTTCCATCGGTAAAATGCGGCAAGCTTTTCATGAAAAGATTGTAAAATTAAACACAGACAAACATATCTAGTTTTTTGCATGACTTTTCCCTAGAAAACCAGACACCTTCGCTAAAGCATACCGCTAATTGATCCCAAACATGTGCAAAACTTTACTTTAGCAAGATGTATATGRATTTATAATATTGATGTAGCCGCACGAATTAACTCTCTAGGGATTTTGAGAGAACGCTCAAAAACACTTGATTTTTTAGGCCTTTTTCCGTGTTTTCCAGCAATTGCGTGCTTTATTTCACCGAACAGACAGCAATCCAACCTTTATAGCTTTAATAAATATACTTTTCGTTAGCTAAACCCTAGTTAACTAACTTATAATGAGGTGAACGTGAATTAGTAGTTTGTTTTTAGAAACTTTYTTCATGACTTTGAGCTTGTTGTCACAGAGAAACGATTGGGCTGACTAAGTGAAGTACAATGGAAATGCTTGGAATTTCATTAGATTTGATCTGCTTTCTACACATCTAAAAAAAGTTGAGAGTTGAAATAGGAGACTCAAAACACTTTCCAAGTCATTYTTATTTTTCATTTATTTTCATCATTGTCCACCAGGCTATCACAAATAGCATTCTGATTGGCTACTGAACTGCGGTATATTCATGATAGACCATGATCACATCAAATGAAGTAAAAGTTTGTTCTTTATGTCTTTATTCTTCAAATTTGCAAAAATTGTTCTTAATGTCTTTTTTTTTTAATTTGCAGACTTTGGAGTATAAATTCTAATCAAAGTTTTCAAAGTAGAATGAGGTGAAATCATGGTTATTTCCGAGACCTAGATTTAAATAAATTTGATATAAATTAAATTATTTTGGTAGCCTGGAACGAAGTTTTTGTTGAACAGCCACCTAATAACAGTAAACAGTGATCTTGRTTCATACTAAGCATAGAACAGCTGCAGTTTCAAGAACTTTACATCTGTGCTTTGTAAAGCCATTATATTAGATGTAAAACAATATACTGCCATTTGCAAAATGTCCGACCGCTAACCTATTTCATCGGCTRCATGCCTTTAAGTTATTGGCAAGATGAGTTATGTGATTTTCGCTCTTTTCTTGCCAAAAGAAGATCGCAAATTATTCAGTACCTTGAAATTATGTTTATTAAAGGTTTTTAAATTATAACTTGCAGTCTATGACAAATTACAGTTTACAAATTTCAAGAATGTCTTCAATTGACGTATACGCATAAAAATATTCATCTTTCGTTGTCTTTAATATGTTCAATTCCCACTAAAATAAAAGTGTTCAATTGATTCAAATTAGTTGTTTGTTTTGTGTTGCTGTTGTTGCTGGTGCAGCTGGTTTGTCTGTATTATGGTTTTAGGGCGCCATATTTACACTAGCAAGTTTGCCACGGACCATGAGCTGCAATTTTTGCGGCGATATCCAGGCTGTTTACACRCGCGCGCGCGATTTGGTTTTGCGATATTTTTCCACTTACTTGCAACGATTCTCCTTGAAACGGGAAAAAGAAAAAGGTMTACGGTTTGCATGCCATGCGAATAAAATAAAAAAGATGAAAGAGTCTACTATGCGAATAATAACTTACCATAATTCAATCAGATTTTAAAGTTTGTCAGTTTGCTTTCTGCCAGTTTGCTCTTYAATT